CCGACCAAGCATAGAAATAAATACAATATGGGAACCAGTAATAAGGAGTGCCAGAGAAAAGCGATAATAACAACAAAAAATTGCAATATGAGCACTGTTAAAAAATGGTTGCTGATTACATTAGGTTCCTAATACCCAGAAATTCATGCACAGATGTTCTCAAGGACACATGGCACAGTGGATAAAGGCGTTAGTTAGATCCAGTGACAGGACCCAAAGAGTGTGAGTTCAATACTTGGTTGCGGTGAATGTGGAGAGGGGAACTGGGAGACTTTTTTTTTTTTTGGTCATTTGATGATTGACTGTCTTCGTGATTATTTCCGTCTTCCCTGAAAATGCACACACACACACACACACACACACACACACATACATATATATATATATATATATATATATATATATATATATATATATATATATTGTTTATACGTTATTTTTATATATATTTTGGAATAGGCTGTCGGCCGGTTGTTTTTCGCAATCATTACCACCTTAACCTTTTCAAGTTTAGGTTAACCGTTACCTTTGCTTCATAACCCCATAAACTCTACTTCTAACCTTTTCTTATGCTCATACAACACAACACTGTAACCTTCTACCTTGAGTGGCTCTTGGGCCTTATGCTAGTTGAACTTTAGTATAAAAAAGATATATTGTGGTTCTTTGGTGTTTTCTAATGACTGTATTCGCCTATGTCATTTTTTTTTCATTTCAGTTTACCATTTCTTCCATAATAGGTCGGTTATCTCCCACAAAAACTTATCACTAATAAACATTACTTAATAGATGAATTGCAAAAAAATATTACAAATGTTAGAAAACATAACCCTAAGAATACAAAAAACAAAGCATCAATCTTTATCTATCAAGGAAAAATCACGTTAAATATATTTCGCAACTAAAAGCAACAGCTTTTTAGTATCATTAAGCTTTTAGTAAACAGTGATTTCCGGGTTTTGATGCGATTAGATTAAGCAAACGGAATTCTGTTGCTGTCATAAAGCAATATTTTAGAACATTTTTTGGTAAATAAAAAGCAAGTAGACAATGGATCTCTGATTGTAATAAGTCATGTGTAAGAGAAGAATGACTGAGAGAAGTTTAAAGACATGGGAGATCACTGGAATCTGACACAAAATGTTGAAAGTATAATAAATGGTGCCGACCAAGAATATCTGTAATTAACTTTAAGCTTTCCTCTAAGAGGCATTTTTGAAATGATACCGGATAGAGAATGAAGAACTTCGAAAGATGGAAAAAAAAACCCACCTCTGATGGGAACATCAGATATTGATGTCAAACCTACATCGTGAGTTTCAGTAGCTTAAATAAATGTTTCATCGAGTTCCTTCTAAAAATAATAGTTATATATATATATATATATATATATATATATATATATATATATATATATATTCCTCTGGGGAAGAAATCTGTTTGTAAACAGTGACTATTAGCGCTAATACGGCAATACTCTTCAGTTAAACGAATCGATTTCTCTCAATCACAATGTGTTTATCTAAAATAAACACGCTTAAATTCACCTTCATCCTGCCGCGCGCAAAGGGCGTAGGGGTAGAAATTCAGCCGGGTTTCGATCCTATCTGGAGGGAAACGGACATCTAGCCACACTGACGATATATATATATATATATATATATATATATATATATATATATATATATATATATATATATATATATATATATATATATATATATATATATATATATATATATATATTTTATAAAAAAAATTATAACATAAGTATGTTATAAAATCACTACAAAAATAGCCATATATTTTTTATAAAAATAATTATATCTGCTCTACTTTTGTATTGAGCACTCTTTTAAGAATAGTAATTGTTGGTTATTGGAATTCATTCCGTATATACCAATATATACTTAGGTATATATATATATATATATATATATATATATATATATATATATATATATATATATATATTGTGTGTGTGTGTATGTTAATCATTTCACTTCAAGCAAGAAAACTGACAATAACACGCAGTGGGGAGGTGCTATATTTGAAAGAATATAAGAAACATAAATACCAAGAAATGCATTTGGTAACATGCCTAAGCTTTGTTCTGACTTCAAGAAAGGACAAGTCACCCCTTTTCATGATCTTGGGCTGTCGAATAGATCGATAGATGATAAGATTAATCGAAGGGAGTCATGTGTCCACAAGTTAATCAAAACGAAAAATCAAACTGGAACATATAATAGACGTAGCGGATCTGGCCCACCGCTAAAACTGCCGACATGGGAAGGTAGTAACTTGGCAAAAGCAAAGCAAAAACGATCGATTCGCAACAGCACAAGATGTTTCCAAAGCGGTTAGTTTGGCGGTTTCTTCAAGAACCGTCAGACGCAGGCTTAAAGCGAAAGGCATTGTTTTCAAGTACATAAAAAAGAAACTTTTTTTATCTGGAAAAATCGACGGGCATGGTTGGCTTGGCACAAAACTCATTTACTCTGGACTAAATCTGATTGGTAAGATGTTATGTGGAGTGACGAATACGTGTTTGGCGTACGCCCAGTGAAACGAATATTCCAGTGTCGACCAATGGCACTGTTAAACACTATAAGAAAAATCAACGTTTGTGCTACATACTCAGCAAGAGGGAGTTGGTAATTTGTACAAAATCAAGGAATCATGGACCCGCATCAATACCACAACAATTCTATTACTCACTTGTCTTGGTAAAAATACAAAATCGACTTTCTATGGTGCGTCCATTTTTTGTTTATACTGTATATATATATATATATATATATATATATATATATATATATATATATATATATATATATATTGAAAAATAAGAAAATAAAAATTAAAATCTTTAGACACACTGGGTTGTAGATTAATATTCTTTCGTTTTTTTTTTGTTATTATTCCATTTAGATTCCTCGACTAGTTTCGACCGAAATGGCCATCATTGGGAGAAATATTTCTGCTTGCTGGTAGCAGTGAACTACAGAAATGAATGTCTTGATGGAGAAAAATGAACTTTTGTCTGTAGTTTTCATTTGTTTTTTTTTTTTCATCTTTTAACATGAATCTTTTAACATTCCTTGTGTTGGTCAAACAGTCTCTTTTAAGTTGTTATTTGAGATAAGAGCTGGATAGATACATATTATTCTGTATTCTCTGGTCAGTTTGACAGTTTTATTGGACCTGGTGAGGGGATGTGTCTCTGTTTAGTGTGTGTGTGTGTGTGTGCGCGTTATTTGTTTCTTAGGGAGTGAGTGTGTAAGCGTGTATACACAAACACACACACACACACACACATATATATATATATATATATATATATATATATATATATATATATATGACAGAAAAACCTCACAAACAAAGGGACAAGTAGGGTGAGATGTGGTCCGTTAAAACCGATTGCTCGTAGATGGGAAGTGATTATTTTTTATTGTAAAACCACTATAGTAACTACTAGTAGTTATGAACATAATTTAAATACTATAAACATGTGTATATGGCATAAATAACAGATAATATAGATATATTAATCAAAATAACAAAAATAGATTTCTCACAGACACTTTCTCACGCAAGCTCTAATATATCGTACTTTATATACTGTACACCCGACTTTGTTTACAACTGAAAGACCCGATAACGCTGCCAAGTGGTAAATTTTAGAAGTTTTAGATCTGTTTAGCAAAGTACACAAATTTTGAAATATATCGCTGAAGATTTGGGATTTTTTAAATTGTGTTTGAAGATTTTGTTCGTTAAATCCGAAGTCCGTATATATATATATATATATATATATATATATATATATATATATATATATAATTATTTTTTACTCACGACACCATCTCTAGACAAAAAACCAGAAGCGTTAAAACAAAGTAGCTATTTTGTAGTGTTGTTATAAAATAATTATGTTATAATTTTAAATATTATTCGCTCTACTCTCACTTTTTTCAAAATAGTGTTTTTGATTACTGGAAGTTTATTCCATCTATACCAACCTTGTATTCGTATATATATTTATCATATTATATATATATATATATATATATATATATATATATATATATATATATATATATATATATATATATATATATATATAAAGCATATAAAGTATTTTCCGATTTCTTTGTAATAAATTATAACCATGGAATATTAGCGTTTGAAACTTTTATATTATATTCTTACTCTGTCCTGGACATTGAGTTCTATTTGTATTCTATCATCTTGGCAATTTATATATATATATATATATATATATATATATATATATATATATATATAAAAATGACCACTGATATTAAATGTTTATATATATATATATATATATATATATATATATATATATATATATATATATATATATATATATAATTGATATTACGTTTTTTGATTTTTTCGTCGGGCTGGTTATAGAAACAATGCTATAATCACTTGAGTAAGACGCTTTAGATTGTGCCGATTTCATCGACTATCTTAAGCACGTACTCCATTGATGTGGCTTGTCTTCATGCCTGGCTTACTCATTTTTATTTCGGGTTTATTTTTTAAATTATTTCTGAGTCATTCTAGTTGAGCGTCGTCCAGTGATCGAAAGAAACTGACAGATTGAGATACTAAGATTTCAGAAGCGTGCAAAATCTGTCAATTTGGATTCCAGACGATGTGTAGTATCGATGCCCTGAGACCTTTCATGGAGACACTCGGGTTCTACTTGAGAATGTTCCATGGACAAATCTGCAATGATCCATAGAATAAAAGAATTACTGAATGATGGAAGACGACTGGGAAATGCCTGAAAGTAAGGTAAAGGAAAAAGAAAAACGAAAGATAAGAAGATAATGGAAGTAAGAAAGGAAATGTGAGGAATGTAGGAAAATCAAGATAAAAGGAAGGAAAGAATTGATATAGAAACTTATGACATAAAAGAAGAAAGGAAGTAAAAGGAGAGGGGAAAAGAAGTATTAACGTTAAGAAAGAAAGAAAGAAAGAAAGAAAGATGAATTGGAAGCTGCCAGAAAGAAAGGAATTAAAAGAATGACGGAAAGAACTGTGTGCATAATGCAACAGAAGAGAGGAAGGAGGGAAGGAAGGAGGAAAGAATAGAATGAATGAAGGAAGGAAGGAAGGAAGGAAGGAAGACATACAAAAACATAGGGGAATTTTAAGAAAGAAATAAAGAAAGAAATAAAGAAAGAAAGAAAGAAAGAAAGAAAGAAAGAAAGAAAGAAAGAAAGAAAGAAAGAAAGATTGAAAGAAAGAAAGGAACAAAGAAAGAAAGGAAAAACATACAAACAGCATACAGGAAATCCTAAGAAAGAAAGAAAGAAAGAAAGAAAGAAAGAAAGAAAGAAAGAAAGAAAGAAAGAAAGAAAAGAAAGAAAATAAAGGCAGGAAAGAAGGAAGAAACGAGGAAATATTAGAAGAAAAGGAAGAAAAGAATTGATATAATAACTTAAGACATAAAAGAAAGAAGGAAGGAAGGAAAGAAGGAAGGAAAGAAAGAAAGAAAGAAAGAAAGAAAGAGGAAAAATAAAGGAAAAAAGAAAGATAGCGAAGGTATGAATTTTAATATAACAGAAAGGAAACAAAATATGAAGGAAAGAATTGTATGTGTAAATAAGATAAGGAAGTAATTGAAATAGGAAGGAAATTAATGAAAATAAACAACAAAAAGAAAGAAAGGAATAATATGAATGGTAGAAGAAAGAAAGGAGAGCAATAAAATGGAAAAAAAGAACCAAGAGAAAAAAAAAGGAAGGAAGGAAGAATGGATGAATGGAAGGAAGAAAATGAAAAAATAAATGAAGGAAGGAAAAAAGAGAGAAAAAAGAAAAAGAAAAAAATAAGAAGAGTAGAAAAAAATGAAGTAAAACTGATTGTCTTTGGTCGTTTGTCGACAGACCGGAGAGTTGTCAAATGCAAGAGGTCATTGTATAACTGGATCGAGGAAACGGTCAAAATAAAGAAGAATAGAAAAGAAAATGATAATAGACAAGAAAGAAATGACATAAATTCCGACTGACAACGCATGAAAGAAGCGCACACCAGGAAGCCAATGGAGAGGAGAAAAATGACAATCCTAACTGCAGATACACATGCAAGAAATGAAACGCAGCAAAGCAAAATATTATACGACACTCTCTTTCTCTCTCGCTCTCGCTCTTTGCACACACACACACACACACACACACACACACACACACACACATAGCGAGAAAGAGAGAGAATAAACTCATCAGAAATAAATGTGCCACCTCCACAAAAGCCGATACCGATTTTGACCTGGGTACATTACATACACGTTAGCGGATATCTGATATTCAGATAAAATTTGCAAAATTCTCGGTCATCATTTGAGGTATTAACCCTCATACAAGTACACCCGTTTTAGATAATGGTTAATGCTGCTATAAGTTTCAGTGTGGTGAAAATATCCACTGCAAGCAGGTATCATTCTAGAAAGGCCCACATCGCTCAATAAGAATCGTTTTGTGACCAGTCAGGTTTGTCGACCGTCGAGAATCTGGGTTTACATTTCAGAGTGTCACAAACTAGGGATGGTGTGACTTGAGAAGTGAATTAAAGATTTTCCATAGATCGAATCCTGATAACAGCACAAAATGTGAAGAAGTAGAAGAGGTTTCACGAAGAGGTTTCGAACCGTGTTCAACTGTGTCAACGCTTGCCCGTTTTGCTTTTCATTCCTGCCGCTGATTTTCTTTCTTTTAACCGAGTCGATCTTCGTCTTTGAGGCCAACAAACTTGATACTATAAATCTGCTGTGGGCTGAGTTCATTTCTACCGTGTCGTTCTTCGACCATTTTTCTGCGCAAACACCGTGTTGAAAGAACAGCGGAAAGGGACACTGACGTAATTATTACCAACAAGGACGTGATATGACGGGGGTTTCCAGATGAAGTGATGTAGAAGTTCTTAGTCGAAGCCTCATCTGACTGGTATTGTGATTTTCGAAGCGTAACTTAGAAGTGTCACAAGACCAAAATATGATACAACCAGTGAGCATTGGAATCACGATTCAGTCGGAACTCATCTGATTTGCATGGTTTTTTCGATGTAATTGTCGACGGTGTCGTTGGTGATTTTCCAACTAACGCATCTGGGGTTTTGGTTTTATTAGTACGACTTCGATGTGACTTTTAAACTATAGCCATTGATCTGGCAGTTGGTAACAAGTGTAAATGGGGTCTATTGCAATATAATTATAAATACTGTAAGATAATTTTAGTGAGCAATTGTAGGGTGATTTTAATGAACGCTATCAATGAATAAAGTTCTCATGCCATTTTGTTCGGCAAAGCGATCATATCCGCACTCCAACACAGTGGATTTAATTCAGCTGTAAGTTCAGGAATTCAGCCCCTCTCTTGTCTTCGCTCAGCAGCCTATAGTATTTAATTGGAATAGAGCTTTAATCAGGCTTCCTTGATTTGTCAATGATTGCATAATTGCTGGCAAGGTTGAAGACGAGGCCTTAAACTAAGCGGGACCAACTCCAAAGTCCGTAACGGTGGAACAAGCGGATGGTGGTTAGAACAGACCTCAACGGTTGAACTAGCGGATGAAGAGGGCTACGCATGACGGACATGCTACAGAAGGCGCCACTCGAATGTATAACAGAGTCAGCAGCGGTCCGTTACAGTTTCATAACTGGATTCTGTATGCCTAATTCCGTGTGTACCGCAGAGGAAGGTCATGAAATCAAGTATGTGTGTTACTTCCTAACAAACTGGGGTCAGCCTTCAACAACTTCACGCCATTGGCACTTTTTTCTGTTCTAATTTTCTTTCATTTCCAAGGGAATGGCTACGGGAACAGGTTCTCGTGGAACTGGAAGCTTCTACTCTTGAACCTGCAGGTTGGCAGCGAATTTAGTCATCAACGCAATCATCATAAAGGTTGTTTGGTTGTTTTGTTTTATGGCATATCAAAACCTCAGTGGGTCATTTAATGCCAACAAAATTGTTGGAATAGATTCATAGCAATAGTTTGGTAAAAAAAAGGTGTGTATGTATACATATATATTTGAACTATTTTTCAATTACTTATATATTTGAATACAATCACACGTGTTGCTGGTATTTTTTTTAATGTATTGCTGGTTAGTTTTTCAAAAATATATTGCTGGTAATAGTTTTTTCCTCAAAAATGTATTTCTGGTAATAATTTTTTACAAAGTATTTCTTGTATTAAAATCTATTTTTACACTTTTATAATGCTTTTTACCCTAGTTTTGGGACTAACTATTTGCCCATAGTTGGGACCCTAACAGGTGCTACCACCCCGGGTTAGGGTGGACTTGGTAACACCAGCAATTAAGAGGTGGTTTCACGCTCCTCAAAATCTCCTTATCAGAGGCCTTGCTGCTAGACGTAGTTTATCGTCATACCCAGAATGCATCATAAAGGAAGCGATCAGAAAAGAAATTAAATTCTTCGATACGAGATAAAGCTGACGACAACATAATGTTTTTACACTAGACAATCAAATTCAGCTTAGTGAACTGCTTGCAGAAAATTAAGATAAAAAATTAATATTAATATTGATATTAATAATATTAATATTAGTAATAAGGAGATAACGGTCTTTTTTAAATTACACATTCCAATTTAACTTCACGCAATGTCTTCAAAAATTCACTGTTGTTAAAAGTTTTTCAAAAATTTCCCTGAAATTTGAATCAACACGTTTCTGGTTAACATTCACCAACTTGTCAAGTCTTGACATTTTCAACTGTCCACTTATATTTTTTCAGCTGCTGTCTCCTTATATTTTTTCAACTGCTGTCCCCTTATATTTTTTCAGCTGCTGTCCCCTTGTATTTCTATTCGACTAATATGTTTCATACGCTATCCAAAATCTAATGTAACACTTAATTTTTTTTAATAGGAAAAAATTATTTCGATCTTTAAATCAAATTTTGCTTGCCGGTCGCACTTTGAAACTCTATTTCGACACCAGACATAGAAACCATAAAACAATTACTGCCCATGTTGAATGTGACATATCAGTGATACTTCAATGTTTGCAACACTGATCAAATGAACATTGCCCGTAGGTTCTAGAAGGTTATATGGAACAGATGTGTTTTTGAAGATTGTAATTTACATAATTTAAATTTTAATAGAAATATCTGATTATAGCAATGTTGGCGCGATTATCTATTATACTAGGATGGCAAATCTTTTTAAATTTAAAAAGAAATTGATTTGGCATTTAAAATAAACGTGATTTATTCATATATTTAAATAAAATCATTTTACAGTTGTGAATATTATTTTTTTATATTAAGCATAAAGAGAGATTAATGACTCTGTTTTTTTTAAAATTTACATTTAAAATTAATCTGGATCAACGTACTTGAGCAGATATTTATTTTATGCCTACATGTAAACATCATTTTATTTCTCATGCATAATAAGATAAGGTTATTTAATTTTTCAGTAAGATATAAATTGCATCTATTGCCTTTCCCATTGTAAGATTTGGCTCTTGCTAAAATATCCCAAGTGATAATAGATGTATTACTACCGTACTTTAATTGATGCCAGAAATGTTTTGAGAGAGCAGTGCTGTTTTTGTATTTTATATTGCCCAAAGTCATTCGATGATGATAGAAACGAAATTTCTAAGGGTTTTCGTTGGAAACAAAATAAAATCTGATACCGTTACCTGAATGCTTGCTAGCTCGGTATACAATATTATCAGTCATACATTAACCCTTTAAGGGACATATTTTTTTTCGCAGTTGCGTTTATTTTAACCAAAAATATAACGTATCTTTGTTGTAAATATATTTAATATAATGTTGTTATGTTGGATTAGATAGATTTATCGATGCTACTAATGCAACTATAGCTGACCTTAATATTATTTTTGTTAAAAGTCTTTTTAGTGTTAGTGAATGATTAAAGTGTTTATAAATTAAGTTAGATTAAACCATATAATGTTACGATTACGGTGTTTCTGTTTATTTTTTACTTTCTGTGTTTTTCTAAATACTCGACATTTAGTTTATAGTTGCTCACATTATTTATATTATTCGGACTATTGTGCTCATCGCCAAATTTATTACAACGTTTCGGCCTTCAGGTGGTTGGAATGTCGAACTGAACCCTTTATTTCGCTCACTGGGGTAGACTGTTCTAGTTCCACGTGCCATGTTTAATGGATGTCAGTTATCAGTTATCTCCTGTTAATTTCCCTCTGACAGTTCTCCACTATCCTTAACCAGGTATTAAAGTGTTTTGAGTGTTAGTTCAATACCCGGTTAAGGCAGTGGAGAACTTTCAGAGAGAAATTAACTCATAACTGACATCCATTAAACATACCACGTGGAACTCCCCTAGTGAGTGAAATAAAGGGTTAAGTTCAACATTCCAACCACCTGAAGAAGGCTGGAGCGTACAACGGCCAAAACGTTGTTATAAATATGGCGACAAAGATGTGGTCAATATACCTCATCTCCGAAATATAGACAGATATGGTTGCTTATTTCTAAAGCTTTTATATATTTAATTTTATTATTATCAAATATTTCCTTATTGATGGAGTTGCTCCCATAGCAATATTAAAGTCCGGGTTACTTCTTTTGGTTCACAGATAACCCTTATGGAATAATATAGGTTTTTTGTGATATTTATGATATTTATTTCGAAACCGCTAACAGGAGGTATTTTCTTTTATAGATTTACGACAGCTATTAGCAGATTATCGTAATGGACGTGTAAAAGTCACAAATATGGCATTGGATGTATGTACATTCATCTTCCTTTATATTTTAGTAAACCATTATATGGGGAACCCATTTATGGCTGTCAGACAATTTCTGCGACCACATCCCCCCTTATATTTCGTCACCTAACTCCCCTGACTGCAACCCCCTTGATTATCATATGTGTGGTGCATTTGAGCGAGAAACGAAAAAAAAAAAAGACTCAATGAACTAAATGAAAGGATTATGGCAGCATTCACTAACTTAAACAATTTGACAGTTCAGAAGTGTTTCAGGTGATTCCGAAGTCATCAGCAAGCTGTAGTTGAAACCAATGGCGATTTTATTGAATAAATTTTCTCTTTAGTATCTCAAAATATTTTGGTCTAATTTTGGTAAAAATATCTGTTAAAATGAGATGCCAGTGTTATTTTCATTTTTTCGTAATCCAGACGACAATTTATTCATCGCACCCTGTACCTGTACATTATCAATGAAAATGAAATATGCTTTTTTATAATTAAAAATTATATTGCTGCATAAATTTCTCATAAAAAAAAAACTACATAGAGTGAAGAAAAGGAAAAATTCTTCTCTGAATAGCTGGCAAAGTATGATTTGGTACACTTTTTTAAAGACAAAAACTGAAGTCTTCTCTTTAAGGCCGGACAACCGTGTTTTTCCATTCAATTATCGTCTGGTGTTTGTCTAAATTCTTTTGCATTGTAGCAGCTGTTTATCGACTCCGAAAATTAAATGCAATCTTCACCTTAAATAAACTACAGGCAAGCTCCAAATACGCTGCTGGGAATTTAGAGAAAAAAAAAACTTTTATTGGCTTTAGACAATGCAGCTGATTTATCATCAATCAAAATGTAACATAAATATTTTGAAAATTTAAATATTAAGCAAGCGCCTATCACAGTGTCTGCATTCTCTCTGCTTGATATGTGTTTATAATTCACTAACAAACTTAAATCGTACTGTGTACTTGTTTTCCACTCGCGGATTGTGGGCACAAGCCAAACTCAACGACTCTCCTTTTTGTTATCGGCTGCCAATCAAAACAAACAGTCCTTTCATCACAGG